TATTTATATGGACGAGCTACATGTTCTACATGCGCGTGTAGGGCGAGTTTGGCCAACCGTCCTCTGTCCGTTCGTACAAACGCGCGCCTCCACTATCCTTAACGTCAGGGAACGCGTCCAATTTGTCAAAGAATGCCAGAGTTCGTTATAGCCATAGGCCACTCATAGGATGTCGTGTGTCCTCCTTTCATGTGCTGGAGATTCCCTTGTACATTCTGATGTTCGACCAATTCTGTACGACCACGCCCTATCTGACCATCCTTCCTCAACCAACTGGTTCTTGTCGACCACTTCTGAACTCGTCTTTGTTGTCTGCTCTCTGTTCTTCGTTGCAGGTGCCTGGTCCAGTTCGATCATACCATTTGACCCGTCTTATTTAGCTAACCCGACGAACCAGTCTTATTTTCTTCGGCTAGCCCCCACAAACCGGTTTGGCATATAATATCCCATATCATATGTGAATAAGGAAAAGACGGATGTCAAGATTTTGAAGCTCGAACAAGTGTCTCGACCTATGGAAAGCAAGAAGGAAATGAAGAGCTTTCCTAGAATGGAGAAATCGAGTGGAAGGAGGGTTGATGGGAGAGAAGATATATGGCACAATCAGCCACTAAAAAATGGCCAAAGGTACGAGAATTACACCCCTGACAGAGGTGCTTCAGGCGATAAAGCAGAGCACTGATGGTGGAGTCGTGACATGGACGAAGTCAAGGGGGGACGGGCGAAACCAACCGAGGTCGAATTGTTAGTGTAGGTTGTAACTACATTATGGTCATACTATGGACAACTACAGACATCTGAAGGATGAGATTGAAAGGTTGATTCAAGTTGTCCACTTGAAGGAGTTTGTATACCAAGACAGAGAAAGGAAGAAAGAAAAGAAGGGGTGCCCAGAGGATTCATTTGGGGAAGGAGGATTAAGATGAAGATGAAGACATAGTGGAGCGAAAATTGTGGTGGTCGTAAGTAATGAGGTAAAAGAGGCTGAGAGATAAGAGGTCGATACTTTGGGGAAGAAGAGGCTCTACTTAAGAAGGGGTCATTCACATGATCCCTGGAGGCTCCACCGACGTGGACTCCAAAAACGCGTGAAAGGAGCTCGCTTGGGATGCAAAGAGGAAGAGTGAGGAAGTTAGCATAACAACTCGATCGCCCATGATCATTTTTTAGGCAGAGGATGCCCAAAGTTTACATGCACCCCATAATGATGCGATGGTGATGACAACTGAGGTGGCGGGGTACGATGTAAAGAGGGTATGCATCGACATGAGGAGCTCAGTTTGTGTCTCCATTTTGGAGTAGTTGTATCTCCATTTTGGAGTTTTTCTTTTTTTTTTTTTTT